TATTCCTTTACACATGCAGATTCTCATTGGAAATGAGAAAAATAAGTAAATAAATAAGCTTCCTGAATTGGAAGACAGGAACTCCCCAAAATACGTCAAATGTACCTTCATCTAAATACTTGCATGTGGCCTCAGTCTTGTTCCACTTTGCCTCCTATTTTCTGTTACATGTTAATTGTTTGGAGTAATTCCCACTGCGTTTCTAACATTTTCCTTTTAGTCATGACAGAAAAACATGCTAACATGAAGGATTAAGGAATTTGATGTTCAGAGTTTGAATTGAATGCTTGAATTACAGCTTTACTGTTAACGTACATTAGCACTCCTAATTTTTTTTTTTCCTTTGTGTGTTGTGGAAGGGAGAAGTTGAAACAGAAGCTCACAGGTTTTTATTGTCCTTAATAATTAACAGGCGCCTGCTAGTCATTCAGAGTTGTTGAGAGAGAGAAAGAGCACAGCATTAGCTACAGTAACATCTCATGTGGTAAAAGACAGGAAGAATTCCACCTTTTCTATCAGGGAGAAGAGGAAGGTTAGAGAACAATCCCAGCACTCCATCATGGGGAAAGTGAATAGTATACTGTAATTAATTACAGAAATGTAATGTTTTATTATTAAAATAATGTAGTGCATAGGATAATAACAGTTGTCAGTGTGAAGGTATAAGATATAAGAGTGCATTACTGCTTACATAAATGTCAGCATATATAAAGATTTTCTGACTCAAATTAAATGTATAATTCAATCACACATAATATGGTCAATATTAATCTGGGACTAGGGTAAGATATATAATTACCCCTGAATTTTAAATTAATTTAAAGCTGTTTTTTTAGTTGCTTGGTGCTTGTTCTATAAACATGGTCTGGGTAGAGAAGTGCAAAAGTGCTTGTCTGTGGAATTTTAGCTTTGCTTAGATCTAATCCTTATTCCACGCCCAAATCCAGCTCCAAAATATATGACCAAAATAACACTAAACCTATATTAATATACATGAGTAAATGGATCAGGAATGTAAGTGTAAGTATGTGCCTAACATGTAATCTGACTCTGACCAAGCCCTTACTTTAACCTGAATTCATTAAAAAAAGTAATCAAAGCTAAATATTAATCTTCATCTTCTATTCTTAAGATTTTCACCTTCATCAACTTAAAATAATCTGAAGACCTCTTCCTCTTCTTGAGTAAGAAGACATGAACACTGAATCTTGTAACACCTCAAAAATGATCAGTGACAAATATCCTGCTTAGAACCAGAACATCTACTTTTACTGGATTTAAACCCTAAACTGGGCAAAGTCCTCTAGTCGGGTTTCTAGAGCATGCTTTGGCTGTGGAACCTTTCTGCTCATCACTCCTTTACTTACCCACTAGGAACTCTCATTAATTCAAAGTAGTTTTCAACAATCTCAGGGTACCGGTAAATTTAGGTGTAATATAGGTGTTAGAAATCTTTTGAAAAAAAAAACTCAGAAAACTGGGATTGTTTCAAAAGTGAGGGTTAAGTGAGTGATAACTGAGCACTAAATCAAGGGTTGGGAATTTTCCCGGGACTTGGATTAGGGTTAAAAAAAAAAATCAACAGTTTAACTGCAGCCAGGTCATCGCTTTTGAATAGTCCCAATTCAGAAAGGGAAAGGGCAAAATTGAGACTTGGCATGAACGTTTTGTTTGATGTGAATCTCGGCTTGTGCCAAATTGGTTCATCCTAATGCTAATCCTAAGTCTCCAACATCATTGAGAGTACAAAAATGGAAATTACATCCAAAACACCACTCATCCTCCGTTTTTAATCGTGACAGAAAGAGAGTTATGACATTAAATAAAGCCTTTGTTTAAGGGGAAATATAATCTTAAATTATACTGCACGCATACCCACCAAATAAGATTGTGGTTGCTTAAATCTGACAATTTACAGCAGCCATTATTTTATACACAGGTTGACTCGAGGATGGAGATACAAGTAGGAAAATGAGCAAAGTTACGATTTGTTGAGTTTTGGAAGAATTTCTATTGACCTTTGATGAAATCTTTGATTGGGTCTTAAGATTGTGTTCAATGAGTAATACTGTACATCTAGCGTTAGTAATACTGTATGTATTACTTAAAGTTAAAGTTAGAAAACTAACAGCCATCACTGTGCTTGAAATGACCTGATTAAAACAAATTCTTACCCTAACTCCATTTACACATATATATCCTACTGTAGGTTTTAACATGTTTCACAGCCTTTACCAGTGAACCTTTCAACTGTTTGTAGTGTTAGTACACTGGTAGTTTGCATAATGAGTTAGCAGCAAAATTGTACTCTGCACCTGCTAGGATTTATCATAGTCAGTGTTGGGGTGAGAACCACACAGCAATACTTCCTAAACTGCAGCAAACTCCATAACGTCAGAAGACTGTGCTCTTTATCTTACCAGATTTCAGAGGGTTGATGTCACTTCTGTAGCATGTTCAGTGAACTGAGTCCTGTCACACAGACATTATAGGATAGTGGGAGATCTTACAGGCAGATTCTGAAACCCTACTGACAATACATCCAGAGTGTAAATGTAAAAAAAAAAAGAGTATGGTTAGTAGGATATGATTGTGGTATAGAATAACTGATTAAAATATTTTAAGTTGCCTTGTTACCACGTTATCAAAAATGGTATATTTAAAGTTCAGTTACAGTGATTACAGCATGTCACGACTAAGAGCTCTGGTACCCTTTCTGACACTCCCTCATCCTTTCTCGACCATTCACCTTGATCTCCACCACTTCGTGGTATACACCTTGAACACTGGTCCTACATTTATGTACACCCTCTGTTCCAACTCAGTACAAGTCAGTGAGGACATCCACTTCTAATCCTAGGGTCTTTGGTCGCCTTCCACACCTCAGGAAAGACAAGAACTGCGGTCAAGCCACACGAACCTTATCTTAGCCAAAAGGTCGTTAATGTTTACGGTGTTCGCTGACTCGCATGACAAACTGCAGTATAAGCTAGTGTTTAAATACATACTTTCGTTACTAAACGGTCGCCCTGTCTCAAATCTTACCATAAACTGGATACGTTTACCTGTCTTATATCATGTTTATATAGACACCAGTGCACGTTAAAGTTTTAAATCAGTAAACCATCATAACATATAATTAATATCACAACTATTAAGTTCACACCTTGGTGAACAAGCACTAAAATATAAGAAGGAATAACCACCATCAAACACCGAGAAGAAGGGAATCCCCTTCTGTTTCGTCCAATCACCTTTTTCCTATGTAAATAGTTTTCTTTGGTACCTTGGCAACGGTTTTTTTAACCATCCAATGGCGTGCCAAAGCAGACGTACTCGCATTCTGATTCGAGTACAATTGTTGTCACGTCAGAAAATGGAGGCGGAGACTGGTTCCAAGATGACCAATAGCTTTGAATATGCAAATCTCGTTTGAAAAGTTCCCGGGAAATCTGAGTTTCGCGGGAGGGTCTTTCGCGCGTAAACTGTATCCCTTCATTCATTGTCAGCTTCCTGGAGCCATTTTTCAGCTGCAAAGACGGAGGCTCTTGTCAGTTTTAAATCCATTGCATCTGGCTGTCTGTGTTCTTAATATTAACTTAAAATTAGTAATATCGGTACATTAGACTCTCTTCTAAGTTATACTGTTAGTATTTCAAACGTTGTTGATTTGGATTTCGAGAAAATCGGCTCCAAACCAGAGGAGGGACAAAGGGCAGCCGGAGCAAATAAAGATGAGAAAAGGGATCTCCCCAGCTCCAGAGAAAGTAATAGTAGCAGGGGTTGGAGTCCCAGCCGTTGAAAAAAGTACTGTTTTAACTGGACTGTCAGAAAGTTTTACTTCTAGTTTTCCCAACGCTACATATATCCAGATTATCACCCCGCCGTCCTGTATTCCACAGACTACGAATGTCTGTGTGTCCGAGTCGCCAGCTGGCAGTTTGATTTACTCCACTCCTCACGGACCAACAAACGGAACGGGACAACGACCTGCATTCGGACGTCCACCGGTAACTAAACTGCTCATGTAGCTTAAAAGAAAGTAAATAATTGCAAAACTCAAATGTTTCTGCGTCTGTTTATAATATGCATACTCGCGGTCGAGGAATCACAAATTCGGGGAATGGTTGCTTATCTACAAATTTGCTGCAGCGATCTTACTGTTAGAACTCATCTTTTAGATTTATAACACGGCCGCGATAGCAATATAGCCTTTTCGTTTTAAACCGAAACTTTTCCTTCCTGTACTGGCCTAAAAGGGGTCACACCCGAATGTAAAAGGTCAATTGCTGAAACTCTTCCGCTCTATTTACAAGACGTATTAATAAACTGCTCCTGTGACAAAAATGACATTCGTGGTGCTGCTTTAAGAAAAATACGGAGGACAAATCTAAGCAATAATCGGTGTTATTTTATATGGGATCAGTGTATAGGATTGTCGTGGCGCTGTCTTGTGGGGAAAAACCAAAACGCTAGGCCCTGTTTTCGTGTTTTTTTGGAAAGGGGGGAAGGGATCTGTCTCTCGCCACCTTCGAGATATCCACACACATCTCTCCATTCTTGGGCAGTGTAATCGTTTTAGCAGTGTTTTGACTTCTGGGACTAAAAACCCGGAGCACGTCTTGTTTAAGCGAGGAGTATGGTTTATATGGCAGAGATGACTGTACGTGCAAATCGAATATTACCTTTGACATATAAAGCACACAGGAGTTTTTCGAAAACTAAAACATGCTCGGAGCAGGTGATGTTTGTGATAAGCGAAGTCGTAGCTGTTTCCTAATCACTTTGGCCCATTTTCGTTTGTCACCAGGAACGTGTGCATATCTTTCTTCAATTTTGAAGAGTTTGGAAAACTACAGCATGTTCTGCAACACCCTGTAGGATACATTTAAAAGCAAAATGACATAAAGGAGAGATGTCAGTACTTTAAATGGAACGTTATTTTCAAATATATTAGCCACATAGAGGTAAATGTTTTACTTTATTTCAATTGCTGCACATAGCTATGGCCTGTATAGCGTTCTAGCTCTAGAAAGACTTTCCAATGATGATGAAGCAATATTAAAATTAGGGAGACAGTGCTCTGAATGGAGCTTAAAGAAGGCACTCTTCTGATGTGCAACCCTGATTTGCTTCCCCACAGCACTTCCTTGATTCTCTGGAAGAATAATTTTAGGCCAAAATCAAACTTTTTAATATGATGACAGACACAAAGGCCTGGATAATGAGTTAATATGGGTATAATTCTGTACCCCGATACAAATTTGCCAGTTTAACTTCACATTGTGCTGCAACATTTGCCAAATACAAGAAAGCAAGCTTTAACTCTTAACGGCATGTTTTGTGACACGTTATGGGTTTGTTTCAGGCCCTTTCTGTCTTAAGCTAATTGTATTTTATGGGCAGTGCAATTTGTAGCTGCCTGAACCTTGTTCATGGTGTTCTGTATAAGGCAAGCTGACACTGGCTGGGCAGCAAAATCTGCTGTGGATGTAGACATTCAGTAAGATATGGAACATTTTTGGTAAATGGTTCTGTGTTAAAGGTGAATTGAAAGGGACAAAGAATTATTCGAACATAATGTAGCCTGGTATGTACAAAAGAAAGATTTTAAAAATTCAGGTAAATGGAGACAAGACATGGAGACAGTTATTCAAAAGGGCCAGTGGAACTCATTTTAGCCTGGGTTCACTTCCCCTATGTGTGACAGGCACCTTCTCATACAGGTAAAATACACTGCATACATATGTTTAGACCTTGCCCTTCTAACATTTTTCCTAATTTGGACCCAATATATAACAGATGTGGGCAGACTCCTGCCACTCTCATATACATGTTTGATCTTGTCCTGGGCTGGTTAATTTTTGGTCCTCCATTTTTGACACTTTCTCTCATATTGCTCATCTTGAAATTGAGACTGCTCCTTACTGGCATTTTTATCGTGCAAACCGATAGCTTCCTCCTATCAAACATTTTTAAAAAGCAAGCCTGTCTTTCTAGCTTTTCTTGTCGGGCACCTTTTCCTCTTTAATTGGTAGCAAGCTGCCTCAAAGATGATGCTGTTTAATTTGATGAAAATTAGATACATACTTAGTCCACTATTCATTTTTTTTAAATATTGTCAAACATTTCTGAACAATTTAAAAACTTTGAGCCTCACTTCTACACCCTAATGTTTCTGTCGCTAATTGGCTGTGCAGGTGATACCTGATGAGACTGGCTCTTTTTTTTTGCTTCCTGGAGACTAGTGCAATTAGTATTTTGCCATTTTGAATTTTCTGTCTACTCCATTTTGTGAGGGAAGATTTGGGAGGGATGTGAAAAGGGGTTAGGAAATTCTGTTTTTTATTTTTAAGTGATTGAAACTGATTTACATTTCCTGTCTCATTAATATGTAATATGTAACATGCATCTTGGTGTTTGGTTGATTAAAAAAAAGATTTAGGTAAATCACATCACTACCCTATTCTGTTTCTTATAGTGCCAGTTCATTTAAATTTGGCTTTAGAGAATCATTTAATCTAATGAAGCTAAGCTCTGCACTTGCATGGTACAACCAGATCTCGTCTGTACTTGTCTGTCACACAAATTTGCTGTCAGGTTGCTCGTTTTTAAACAATCAAACAGGTTTATGGGAAGTGGCATACAGGAATTAAGTATTGCTGTCGGCTTTTATCTCTGTTTCCATCTTTTGTTCAGCCAGTGGGTTTCAATAAGTTAAAGAACTAATGTTTTGCTCCCAAGAGCTGTCATACAAACTGGGGGCCATCAATCTAGTGTGTGTGTGTGAGCATGTTTTTCTTGAATTGATCCGACAGAAGAGGGTAATTACTGGCTTATCCAAGCTAAAGCTGGATCATGTCTGGAGCTCAGTTGTTCAGATTTTTCTCAAAGTAGTCACGTCAGAAACACAATGTAATAACATGAAAAATGTAGCTCCTCCTACAGCATAGTGTCCCTGGTCACTACTGGAGCCTTCTTCATTTGGAAATGTAGGTCTGGAGAGAAATTGGTGCTTGCCAGGTATCCAATACCAAGTAGCAGTGTTGACCTGGTTTTCCTCAGAGGTCTTTCATTCTAGAAATAAACAGTCCTAATCTTGCTTTGCTTCTCATAGTAATGCTAAATAAAGTAAATATGGTTAAAATCTTGTGTTCTGACACAATCAGCTAGGTATTCATTGTTAATGTTGCGTTTGCAGTTACCTTTGTTTTTGCTGTCCCTTGGGAAAGTAAAAGAAGTAAAGATATGGTTAGACCAGAAGTCCTCATAGACTGACAAGAGGATCCCCAAAAATAAAGGAGAACATTACACCCCGTTGCAGTACTCTAAACTCACAAAATAATTTTAAGTAACAAGTTTTGCCCTCCGTTAACAGACCACTTCATAAACGTTGAGCTTTTAGGAATTCCGCAGTGCTTAGCTTGCCGCTTTGTTGCCCTGCCACAGTGGGTTCAGTTATGAGCCTGGGGCACTATCTATGTGGAGTTGATATGTTCTCCCCATGTTCATGGGGGTTTTACTACAGGTCCCCTGGTTTTCTCCCACACTCCAAAGACATGCTGATAAGTTAATTGGCTTAAAATGGGGAAAAAATGGTCCTGGTGTCAGTGCGTGTTTGTTTGTGTCAGTGTGTGCCCTTGAATGAACTGGTGTCCTGTCCAGGATGTATCCTGCCTTGCACCTGTTGCTTGCTGGAATAAGCTCCGGTGCCCCTGCCACCATGTATTGGGTGAAGCAGTTAGAAAATGGTCGAATGAAAGCTTTCATGGTAATGCAGCCAATTTAAAATGTGATGTTATTAGAAGAAATGTAAGACGTGTTGGTCTTGTCGTTGGAGAATCTGTGTCAAAGTCGCATTCCTCTTAGCCAAACTCTTATTCAAGAAAAAGCTATGAGCTACATTAAACGTGACGATTTACCTTTTTTTCATGCAAGTCATGGGTGATTCATTGCAATGTAACCTCAATACTTTGTAATATGTTAGGTAGGCTTTGTTTGTAAGCTTAGGTTCTGATCTACTGCTCATCCCTTTTTTATGAGAAAAACTGTTCCATCTTATGAAGGGGGCTTTGCAAAATAACCCAGTAGTAAGTTTGGGACCGAATTGCATTGATCCATGATCACCTGATGTCCAGGGAATGTTTCTGCTTTCTGGGCACTTTGAAAGGGACTGTGAAGATTTCGTGGCTCTTGGCTGTCCTGTTCTTTCTAAGTGGCGTGTGACCCTCGTTGCTTTGCCAATATCTGAGTTGGTAAAAATCACTCTACCTGAACAAGCAAAAACAAGGCAGCCTAGCATGTATGGATCCTCTTGTTTTTAGGTTCTTGAGCTAATAGCCTTTCTGCTGTTGTTTATCTGTAACTTTTCATCCCCCTGTTTTTCATTTAAAGAGTTTCTGTGGATTTGAAGTTTTTATTAGCTTGCCATTGCTAAGGTTTTGCTTCTGGATTTGGCAAGCATCTAAGGACTGTTGTCATATGCCAATTAAATTTATCCTGTTTTGTCATGCAAAGCTTTCTCTTTCAGGCTTCAAAAGAGACATCAGAAAAATGTAAGAGCTCTTGATATTTAACCTCAAGTTCTATTTACATAGGCAAAAGGCAGTTTTCACTTTACTTTCTGAAGCTTTTTTTAAAATTAATTTGACATACTAATGTTTTCGTTTTGAAGAACAAGATTGTTCTGTTGCTCTGTCATCTGGCTTGTGCAACTGAAGCAAACTGGCTTGATTACCTGAAGCAATCCCTACAACCCAAATTTAAGAATTGATTGGGGTGTTACATGGGCTCCTTCTGTTGAGTCTGTGGGCTCCATTTAGTCCACAAATAGCAAGTTGAGAGCCAGTGCTCTAATTGAGGTGCCATGACTCTTTGATTCAAACTTCTAAGTGGTCTCAGCTGCTTTAAGTGGTTAATTGCATATAGTACGCATCGAGCTTGACTGAGTGATTTGCAGTGAATATGTGCGCTTTCTAACTAATTTATTTCTGTGTTATGCTCTCCGTCATCGCATCGATACCGCGTTAAAAATGTATCTGGGACGCTTCTGGTAACGCCGCCGTTCAGAATGGCCGCTTAATAGTTCTTTTCCCCTCTCTTTCTCAAAAATACCCCATCAACAGTACCAGAACTCTACCTAACTGAATTTAAAAAGGACTGTAAGCATTGGGCAATAATGAAGTCACGAGGCAAAGGATGAAAATACAAACACAGAGAAAGGAATCTGAGGAGGACACAGAGGAAAGTTGAAGCAGCTACCTCCTCCTGTAACGAAGAGGTAGACACCACGCTGAGATTAAAAAATATGAGTCCTGGTGAGCCTCAAGAAAATCTGCCCTGAACTGCGCGACTTGTGAAGAGATATGAACGAAACAACAGATTTCACAGAAGTACTGCATCGAGTTAATAAAAGGACAGACAGATCAGAAGAGTGCATTGAGCAAGTCAAGGTGGTGAAGGGATGGAATTATTCAGTGTTCGCTTCAGAGACTGAGGCGACGAGAGACTAACAGACGTGAAGGAAAGATCAAGAAGAACAAATATGAAAATCCATGTAGTTCAGAGGGTTGTGAGGGAGGATCGATACTCGGCCTTTTTGAGAAACGTATTAAAGAACCATTGGGATTCTCCCCCCAGATAAGATTGACAATCTGAGCACATAGAGCCCTGGGCCCAAAAATCACAGATCCGTACAGACCACGATCTGTTCTAATCCGGTTTTCCTGTACAAGACCAAACAATAAATCCTGACAAAGGCATGGGAGAAAGTTAAACTAAGTACATATAAAAGTATATATTTTGATTATGAATATAAAGAAACAAAGTACTAAAAACTGCATAAGATTTAAAATTATTTCTTATTTAAAATTTTTTTTTTCCAATGTGAGTGGTCTACACAACCCAATTAAAAGAGGCAGAACTTTAAAAAAATTAAAGGAGAGAGGGCACAGGTCGTATGTCTGCGAGAGACTCATTTTTCCGACAGTGAACATGTCAGATTAAAAATGGATGGGTTTTCATAGTGTTCTAGTTCTCTCGTAAAATAGGTTGTAAAATGAACATAGCCATACCGATTCTGACTGCTGATAATTTAGAATATCAGATTAAAAACAAGGTAAATTCCTTTTTATTCAAAGGGAAATCATTGCTTATTTGTTTAATGTTTATGCACCATGAGAAGTGATTTTTGCAAAAAATATTTGATATCCACATAATAGGATTAGATCTACCTTATGGATAGACCTGTATCTTACAGGAAGGAACTATACGAGTACACCCCGCATACAGATATTACATATATATATATATCAAAACTAAGTTTGATATATTAAGTTAAAATTTTAAGTCTTGCTGCACAAATTAAAATCAGTAGTTACCTTGAAGATTTTAGTTTAAAAGAGATGCAAGACAGTGATATTCCCTACCAGCTCTGTTATTTTCTGTATACATAGAACCCCTAGAACAGTGGTTCTCAAACTGTGGTACGCGTACCTGCAGTGGTACGTGGAGTGCCACCAGGTGGTACACCACATGACCCTGGAACTGTGTTGCGTGCCCTGAAAAATCGGGACGGGTTTTCATATTTTCTACTTTAGGACGTATCGAATATGCAGCCTACGTACTATGATACAGCGCACGCTAATACTTGAGTGGACAGAGCTACAATGTAATTCTATACCACTCTATAGGAATGCATGCTATGAACGTAAGTAACCAATTGTATTTAAAAAAACATATCTCCAGCAAATAGGGAGGTGGGAGAATGTGCGTGAGTTTCAAACAATGCCAATGTTGTAAACACAGGAATGCATAGAAATGCATGCTAGGAACGCTGGTAATCTTCTGAGCACGGGAAAGCGTGATAGATAACGGAAAAATATTTAAGAACTGTTCTAGGTAAATTTGAGAAAAATACACTGAGCTTCTCTTGTTTCGCTCCCATGCGCATGAAATAAAAACTTTTTACTTCTGCGGCAGACTCCTGAAATGGAAACGGGGAAAAATGCAAGCTTGCGGATTGCTAAAGCAGGTAACCTTATTTACCGTTGGCAAAAGAGCTGACGTATTATGTGTGAAGAAAAAGCTGCTAAACAGCTCGACCTGCTGCCCCCTCTGAATCATTCACAGAATTATTGAAATGGCGGATGATATCAAAAGTACGCTAATGGAGCGCGTTAAGATGAACAGTTGTTTTTCACTGCAATTAGATGAGTCTGTAGTCGATTTGGCCAATTCGCTTGTTTACGTTAGATACGAGTTTGAGAGTACGTCCCATGAGGACTTTCTGTTCTGTAAGCCGCTACCTACAGGAACTACAGGAGAGCACATATTTCAGCTTCTGAATGAATTTATCGAAGAAAATGGCCTAGACTGGATAAAATGCGTCGTAGTTTGTACAGACGGTGCTAGAGCGATGACAAGCTGAAACAGCAGTGTAGTTGCATGAATTAGAGAGGTTGCTGCAGAAATGAATGGGCGCATTGCAACTTCCACTGCGAGACCTTTGCCGTCAAGAAAATGCCTGACGATTTAAAATCTGTTAGACTCTGTTGTGAATTGTATCAAGGCTCAAAAAATGAATTCACATCTGCTGTGCTCGACTAAACAGGCTCACCCCTCTCACTGAAATGGTGCTTTTTTGTTTATTTTGTTTGCTGTTGTTCCTGTTTTTTTCTGTAAAGGGCTTTGATAAGCCACCTTTAAAGGCGCTATATCAAATAAAGCTTATTATAATATATATTATATGTGTGTGTGAGTGTGTGCGCACACGCACGCTTATGTTGGTCATTGAGAATTTCTGGGGTTCCTATGAGAAGATGACTTGTAGGTGGTACTTGGATTCTTTGGTTTGATCAGGGGTGGTACTTGGTCCAAAAAGTTTGAGAACCACTGCTAGAAGAATGGATTAGACAAAATTCAAAAGGGTCTAGAAATGAATGGACATGAACAAAGGATTGCCCTACATGCAGATGATATCCTCTTATATTTCAATCAACCTACTGAATCTCTTACTGAGGTTCTGGACCTCTTGGAGACATTTTGTTAATTCTGGTTACAAACCAAATATTGAAAGGACTTCTAATTACAATCCAATAGATACATTTGAAAGGGAAGCTTAAATTGACATTTAGCCTCTTAAATATTTAGGAGTACAGTTACCAAAATACCTGAATTTAAATTACAGTTCTTTAATTCACAGAATTGCTTGTTGCAATTTGCTCTCTTTCAATAGGATCTGGAGCAGAGGCCATTAAAATGAACATGCTACGAAGATTGTTGTATCATTTTCAATCTCTTCCAGCAGAGTGGAACAAAATAATCTCAAGGTTTATTTGGAATGGAAAGATGCCAATAATCAGATTTAAGATGATCCAATTATTATTAATACTAATAATAATTATTGCTTACACTTATGTAGCGCTTTTCTGGACACTCCACTCAAAGCGCTTTACAAGTAATGGGGACTCCCCTCCACCACCACCAATGTGCAGCCCCACCTGGATGATGCAATGGCAGCCATGGTGCGCCAGAATGCTCACCACACACCAGCTATTAGTGGGTAGGAGAGCAAACTAATGAAGCCAATTCATAGATGGAGATTATTAGGAGGCCATGATTGGTAAGGGCCACTGGGAAATTTGGCCAGGATGCTGGGGTTAGACCCCTGCTCTTTTCGAGAAACACCCTGGGATTTTTAATTACCTCAGGGAGTCAGGACCTCAGTTTTACGTCTCATCTGAAGGACGCCTGTTTACAGTATAGTGTCCCCGTCACTATACTGGGGCATTAGGACCAGGTATGGTTTAGCATTATTAAAACATAAATTAGAGAATGATGCAAATGTGTAACAATGGATACCTTATGGTTTGGATTTAATCCCAAGGAAATACTATTATTTTTTATTTCTAAATTAAAAAAAATCATAATGAGAAAAAGGTGTATTAAAGAACCACCAATGCCTGAACATTGAATTTATAATTATATTGTGAATGAGATTTACTGTGATAACATTTTCTCTTAATCTACAGTTGGAATGATTTAACATACTGGTTATTCTGGAACAGATTTCCTCATTAAGACCTGCTTTTACTTTAATTACAGTGATTAAATATTTCTATATAGACCTTTATTTCTTTGTTTTATTTTTTCGATAGTGATTAAAATAATGTAGATTTTTTGTAATTGTTTCTGGATTTAACACCCATCTAAAAATTTACTTTTACATTAAAAAATGCAAGAAAAAAAGTAAACATTGTGTTTGCTTTCCATGTAAATTGGATCTTCAATAAATAAGTAACAAAAAATCCCAGAAGAAGATGTTTTGATCTGTATAGGTATGTGCTGTAGTTTTTGTAGATATTGGAGTAAAATATCTATACTCTGTGGCTAAGGATCTGCGCCTGTGGCTGGAAGGTTGCCAGTTCAAATCCTGTGACCGGCAGAGGAATCCTACTCCGTTGGGCTCCTGAGCAAGGCCCTTAACTCCAGCTGCTCCAGGGGCGCTGTACAATGGCTGACCCTGCGCTCTGACCCCAAGCTTCTCTCCCTGTCTGTGTGTCTGTGTCTCCATGGAGAAAAGCTGGGGTATGCGAAAAGATGAATTCCTAATGCAAGAAATTGTATATGGCTAATAAAGTGATCTTATACGGATATGAACTGTACAGTTGAACAGCTTCATAAACGTGTCTCTAGGCCTACACCAATGCAGTCAATTTTAGTCTTCAAGCTGAGCTACAGCAATATATAGATTTTCATTCTAACTCTCAAATTTGTATGTAGATCAAGCTTGTTGGACAGGGCTATCTCGTCACATTGGGGGATGTCTTTACCTGGGAGAGAGAATGAGCTTCTTCTCCATTTCCTGTAGGCAAAGAGGCGACTGGAGCTGGATGACAGTGACCATCAGTACCTCAGTGAAGAAGCCAAGACACCCAAGGGGAAGGGCAGGGCCACGACCCGAAACCTCAGCAGTCCTAAGAGTAAGTGCCTTGGGTCGAGATGGAGAAAACGAAAGCCTTATCCATCCACTGGTCTTATCCATCTCTTTTTTCCTAAGTAGGTCCATCTTTTCTGATGTTGAGAGGTTAACTCATGGGTGTGTTCAGTTTCAGTAGTTAATAAAGGTGACAGTGTTGAAAGCCTGGTATGAAAACCAAAAAGTAATGAGAGCATCCTCTTCAAAATATACCTCTGTGCATTGGACTAAGCTGCCGTTTTTTTCCTTTGTGCCCAGTTGTTTTTTTTGACTTGGACCTACATAGTTTATCGTGTGGCTCAAATTCATAATGGAGTATAATGACAATATATTATAAACGTGATTCATTTAAGGTTCATAGTTTTGAAAACAAATGGTAGGAGCTTGTGCGAGGAAGGTGTTTTTTTTGTTGCTTTTATTGGTTGTATCTTTACATGCAGAAAACAAGGATGTCATTTACACTGTGCTAGTATTCATCAGAAATATCCAACTATTTTGCTTTCACTGCATGAAGTGTAAAGCTGTCACACTAGGTGGGCACGTGTATTTTATTTCTACATTATAAAAACGTTTTTCCAAGAATTGTTCTAGGCAAGTATCCCATTTATAAAAAAAAAAGTCAGTGGCCGTCAGCAGTTTCCAATGTAGTTACGTTAAACCCTAAAGATGTATTTTTTTCTGCAGAAAACAAGTCAATGATTAGACGTGGAGTATCTAAAGGGAGAAACAGGTCTGCTTGGATGGGAAGCCTTATTGGTACTCTGTTTTTGTAGCTCCCAAGTCCCCATCGGAGAAGACGCGCTATGACACGTCTCTGGGACTCTTGACCAAGAAGTTTGTTCAGCTACTTGGTCAGTCGTCAGACGGTGTGGTAGACCTGAATCGGGCCGCGGAGGTCCTCAAGGTGCAGAAGAGACGCCTCTATGACATTACAAATGTGCTGGAGGGTATTCACCTCATCAAGAAGAAATCCAAAAACAACATTCAGTGGATGTATGTATCTCATGTCGGGGGATGCGAGGGGACATACAGTAGCAGCTTTGCAGAACTGTTGCATGATGATGATGATGACATGCCTGTAGGTACCTATGCAACTGAAGTATTTCTTGCACTTTTCCTTCAGGTGAAAATGCAGTGCATTGCAGAGGGTCCATGTTTTCATTGGCTTGACTTGACTGCTTGACTCATTTTCACATTTTACTTTCTGATTTTATAATGCCTTTTAACGCCTTCCCCACTTTTTTTACATTGGCAAATTACAGTATTAGGGAGCTCGACAGCCTTAACTGCAGAAGAAATAAGAGGCAGATATTTTTTCCCCTGCAATACTTTTCCAGGTTTTACATTTACACAGGCATCCTGGAAGATCCAGCCAAGTCATCGTTACTGGGTTCTGCATTCCTAAGAGACACTCCTTGATTTATGATGACCCGATCTGTCTCTGTAGCCCCTGGAGTGTCGGGTGCCAATTCTCCTCATATGGTTCATAACCTGTTATAATAGTCTCTAGGCCGCAATGTATCGTAGTTTTGCGATTGACAGGAAGCGGTTCCAGGGCTGTGGAGTTCATATATATGAGCATAGGAATGCAAGATAAGCTATTAACACCCACATTAGCAAGATTTATGATGCGGTCTATTAGTCCAAAGGTCTCATTTAACTTCTTGATGGCTCTTGAGGAATTGGCCTCAACATGTCTGTGGAAATTGAAAGTAATTGTATTTTTAGGCTCATCTCTTTAAGAAACCTACTTTGCAAAGTTCTTCTCTCTCTGGCTTTGTGGCAGTGTGCACCATGTTTTTGAGAGTGCTAAACTGTATACTAGTTTGACCTGAGTTTAACTTGACTTACTTGACTTTATTTCGGTGATCTATTTACATAGTTCTTAAAAGACAGGGGCAGACATTGATTATTAGAGATGTCAAATGTTTCGGGGATGTTGAGGCACATGTTGATTTGAATTAGTGTTTGGTTTCCTGGGGAAGAGTTGTCTCATGGGTTAAGATTCTCTGGTGGCAGTTGTCCAGGTCATCTGAGGTATTCAGGTAGAGCTATGTTTGGGGTATAAGATTAGTCATAGTACGAAGATGTTATGCACGTGGGTGCTGTAAACAAGTGTAAGCAGCAAACCCATGTTGCCATTTGAAGGTGTAGAGCTCAAAGAGATCTGGTCATGTTAACTGAACAGAATAAAGTGCAGTGTAATGCACTTTATAGAATTAATGTGAAGATACATAGGTTCTTAAAGAGCACAGCATTATAACTGTCTAGGGTACGTATTTGCTCGAGCACTCACATGTACAAAAATGATTTATGGAATCAATCCTTGTTAAAAAGACTAATATTCTGCTATATTGGAATAACACAGCGCAAGGTCATTTGTCATGAAGTGAATTCCAGAAACTGCAAGCATTGCATTTATTCACACATCACAGTATTTCTTTAAATAAAATCCAAGCCTCAGTGTAGGTTTAGAGGCCCATAAAGTTTTCATGTTTCTGCCCTTCTGAAATATCAACATTTTCACATGTAGAATGTTGTATAAGTGAAAGTGGTCATGTTGCAACTGATGATTATACTTCCATACCATGTTCTGTACACCTTTGTTAAAGGTTTGTTCAGACAGCTGCAAATCCATTTAATCACAAAAAAATCAAATTTGTCCTGTTTTCTTGTGTGTTGTCAATTTGTTTGACTTGAGAGGGCTTTAAATATTCATCTTGAGGTGTGATTGCAGTATATTTGTACATATTATAAGACTGGTTATTGAAAATGAGTGATTTGCAATAAGGAAGTTCGGATCAAATTGAAAAATCAAGCACCTTCTATGCTCTAGTGTTTAAAAGGTTGATTTCTGTGTTTTCCTGACAAATGTGAACACCAGTTAATCGAAGATAAATTGCTGCTTGAGGTTTTTTTTATATCCTCTAAACAAGCTGAATTAAATTTACAGAAACAAATTTTATGAACACTTTTAAGAATATTAGACTAAATCCAGCAGCTGAACCAATTTGTGGTCCTCACACCTGAAGAAGGCTCCACGGTCGAAACGTTGTGTTCTTTCTTCTTTTTTTCAGCATGGAATAAACCTATTTTATTTAAAAGTCAGAGACAGACGTTTTTTAGATCTCTTTGGAAAGATGTTTGCATTTTGCTTGTCCTCCTGTCTACCGTTTGACTTCTAAGGTTCAAAAACTTGATTATATAATAAGCTTATAAAGACGTGATATGAGCATAGGCATAGCTATTTTTTATGCTATGGGAATGGTCAGTTTTGTTCTCACTTTATTTGGCCATACTTCTTTCTGAAATGTTCTATTTGTGTGAGTGTCCCTTGTATAATGAAAAAATCATTTCTGACTTCTTAGGGAGTCTTTCATTCTTGACTCACTTGTATTCCTTCATTAATTTTTCCCTGGTTGTTTGTCAGTTTTGTGACAGAACTTCTCTGCAGTGTGTTTCAACAAGCAGTGCTTGCGTGTGAGGGAGAGTGGTCGAGGTGGGGACAGTTTTCTGCTGCTGCTGTGTGACCTGTGCTTCCTTTCTGCGGACAGGGGCTGCAATCTGTCGGAGGAGGGGGGAACTCTGAACCGGTGTCAGGCACTGAGCCGAGAGATGGCAGAGCTGAGTCAGGTGGAGAAAAGGCTCGATGAGCTCATCCAGAGCTGCACCCTTGATGTACGGCAGCTCACAGAGGAGTCTTTGAACCAGAAATATCCTTTCACTGTTTGCTGGGAGACCCTCTTTTATTAAATCAAGATTTTAACAGGGAGTTAACTTTGTGCTCCTAAGACTAGGTACTATCATCGGAACCAAGGCCTTCTCCCTTTTTACATTATCATGATTCATGATCTTAAATGTCAGAGTAGCTGTTGTATTCCGGAGCTGTTGTATTCCGGAGCTACTGAGAAGTGCAATATATTTTTAACACATTGAACACTTTCATTTTTGTTTTTTTCCCCATGTAGATACAGTCCTCGTTTAGTAACAATCCCAAGTTTTCTACTATTTACATTATTGAAGCAGATGCTGCCCTCAAACATTGCATTTTCAGACTATTTTAGAGGTGTGATATTTTTACATTTTGTCAGCAAAGTTCTTGGAATGTGCACACTCAATAACCTGCCTTTGTGTGCTGAATTAATTAGGGCTGACCTCCCGTTGATATTTACTGTACTTGATATGTAGTACCATTTGAAATATTCTTTCTGCACAGTTACCCATTCATCTATTTGGAGTCCCATCTTTTATAATATCAAGACTTTAATGGGGCAAGAGGCACTTCATTAGTGAGTCTAAGGCCAGCTTACTATTATGTTTTATGAAGTACAGATTTCAGTGGTGTATTAAAATTACATTAAAGAAACTGTCTAAAATGATCTATTAGTTTCTTTTTGATAATAGATTCAGAGTTTTGGATCTTTAAAGGAGCTTTTGACATGGTAAATGTGTTTTACCGTGAACTATATTTACTGAACATGTCAGGATAGCCTTTCAGAGACCCTATTCCACAAAAACTCCATATACTTCCTGTGTTGCAGTGTGCGGATGCAGGGCAGGATGTGTCCTGATGTATATGGACTCATAATGCTATGAGAGGAAGCCACCAGCGAGGGAGGGGAGGTTTTGAAATGTTTGAGCTGGCCTTTTCTTTGACCATGTTTACATTTGCATATGTTACCTACCAAGACATCCGGAGGATAAAAAGCCTAAGAGATCAGACTGTGATTGCAGTGAAAGCTCCCTCAGAGACCAAGCTAGAGGTGCCAGACCCACAGGAGGTGAGTACATAGCTGGTGCAACTAAATAAACTCGTGCCTGTTGAATGATTGGCACTCCTGTGGGCATTTAAAATTTAATGGGTCTGTTGAGTTTTGAAATGGAGTTAGAGATGCAGAAATCTGTAACTTCAAAATAGCTTTTGACTTGAGCAATCATGCCCAATCTTTTTAGCTTTTGGCTCAGCTTAAAATCACATTGTAAACTTATTTCCTCAATGATAATGTGAAATCATGAACATTTTTTTTTTTTAGAATTTACAAGTCCACCTAACCAGCACACAGGGTCCTATAGAAGTGTTTCTATGTCCAGATGAGAATGTTCCCAACAGTCCACTGAAAAACACTTTGGACCTGAATGGAAATTCTTCCCCTTTAGTGAAAGTCTTACAAGGTAAGAGCTGTTCATGCCCAGTAATGCCTCTAAGAAGTTTCAAGATAGTACGTGGAAGTAGCCTTTGTACGTCAGATGTGAAATGATAATCTATTAACAGTAATGTGCTTATTTTAAACTGTAGTGGTTAGGACTCAACTCATAACAGGAAAGTTGTGAATTCAGATCTTGGACTGTGCACTGTTGTTTGAACTCAGCTTTATTAGTTGTTTTCAATAAAAGCCTCAGCCAAAAATATATTTATACAAATTTATAATGAAATTCGTCACATTTATCTTGAAATGTCAGGGTAGGTAAGGAGCATTGCAGCTCTCGGTGAAAGAATTCAGAAGTCAAATTCTGCATGCATTTTTTTAACTTGTAATGTTTCCTTCCTCTTACTTTCACATTTCTAAAAACGGAGTTGCAGTTTTGCAATGGTAGTCTTGAAAGTTGGTGGAGAAGAGTCCCACATTTATCTAATTTTCAGTGCAGAGATGGGATGACAGGGGCCGGGAGATCAGCCACTTTCAGCCACTGCCTTCAGGAAGAAAGCTCCAAATACAGCTACATTCCGAATGTTGAAGCAAGATATTTCTGATCAAATTGTTTTTGTTACGTTTTGAGCTTGAAATATGTTATCCTTTTAATATTTGTTAGAACATTGTGAAAATTATTTTAAACTGGGCAACATTTGGAGTCAATGGTCAAAAAAGAATCAAATCTGCTGAAGCCCTAGTCAAGATTTGCTCATTAATATGGCTTTCAAATCAGAAATTACAAATTACATTATTCTGCTTGTCATTTGCTCTTGAACAATATTTAGAAAGGACCAAATTTAAGGTGGTTGTGCTATTTGGCCAAATGCAGTTTTTTTTTTAAAAAGAGAGAATTGCCAGTTAGGTTTTATATCCCCACCTGGAATAGCCAGTTTTTCAAATCTCAACTCACGGCCACGAATCCTGCACTGACTCAAGAGAGAATGAGAAAGTGTAGGCAGACTGCTCTGACCTGTCCACTTTGGGACTGCGCGACACTTGCAGAAAGAGCCCCTCTGCAGAACTGCAGTTCAGCTCTGATTGGAGGGAAGATGCTCCCCTCACCAACAACACTGCTTTATTGCAGGCTCCTGGAGGCTGAACCCTGGCCCAGTCTCTCCCTTACCTTAGGGGTGCTCCGCCAGTTGAGGGGGATCCCAGTTGTATTTGGCTGGTGATATGACGCACTCTTGTTGGCATCTACCATCTCATCCACAAGGGCGGCCCCCAATTTCAGCAATCTAAAATCGTATGTAGCATTTGTGGAAAGATTGCAGACTTCCTCTAGGATTTAAATCGGGTTTTGAGAGGTTTTCACAGAGCTCTGGTCATACAGTATGTTGGCAGCATCTGTACATATTTTTCTAGTAGCCTAGATTTAGATGTTAACCATTTTTTGTGCAGTCTTATTAGCATTAAACTTTTCTTTCCTGGTGTCTTTTTCTAGAATCCTGCAGCTCCTTGGGGCCTGATTGTCCAGTGACAGTTTCAAATGTTTCCCCACTGACGTCCCCAATTTCCAGCCTCTTACAGCAGACTGAGGACCAAATCCCTTCCGGACTGGAAGGACCATTTGTAAACTTGTCGCCTCCTTTGATCCATGAAGACTACTTACTGAGCCTGGGCGATGAGGAGGGAATTAGTGACCTTTTTGATGCATATGATTTAGATAAGCTCCCACTGGATGACCTCCTTTGCAACTAACTGGGCGTTGTCTGCCAGGAATAGACTAACCTAGAAGGTGGATCTAGGAGGCCTCGTTTGTTAAAAGAGGTGCTTCTTTGTCTTCCTTTTATCTCTAACTCAGATCTGCAACAGCAGAGTGGTTTGCCTTAATCTGTACCCTTCAAAGGGTACACAGATTTTAAACCTGATGCGAGATCTGCCTTATGAAGTCGGGCACAAACCCTCAAAATATATTCAGTGTTACACATTCTGGCTGTCTCATTTTACACAACTGCTAATGTCAAGTTCTGTTACAGAATGACTGTACAGAATAAAATTGTGCAAGCAAGGATTTTTTTTTTAAAAAAAGGGTATATCCTTGTTTTTTCGCAGCTCTGCATAACATGGCGTTTTTAAACCGACATCGGAACTGTGCATTGTGTTGCGGTGTTTTATTTTTCTGTGACTTCTTAAACCATCAGTTGAATGGTCTCTGATGATCACCCGAGCACATCGTGACCCTCTCTGATAGTGACCCAAGCAGATTAAGGAACATTTGTCTCCCCAGTAGGTAACATTTCTACTCGAAGGTAATAAATATGCTGAACAGATCTGTGGTTGGGTGAACATTCATCTGTTTTTTTCTATTTGGAATTGCCCACCTGATTTGTAATAGCTAATTGTTTTTCATGCCCTGGCTGTGAAACATGCTTTGGGAAGAATGAGGAAGTGTAGGCAAACTCCTTTTGACATGCCTACCATCACATGTCAGGGGTTCAGAAAAGAATAAGGTAGAGGCTTGTCCCACGCTCTCAGGCGGCTACAGTGCTTGATGTATTTGAGATCCAGTGATCCCTGGCTGACTCATCCCACTCTGCCTTCTGTGGCCTGGGGATCAAATGTGCACCAAAGGGGGACCCTCATCACTCAGGTCAGGTCTTCCAGATCTAGAACTTCCAGAGTGGTGATCAGATAAACCCACTGTTAATTCTGTGGGAAGTGAACCAACTGAATAAAACTCCTTCATTTTGCATTTTCTCTCAAAAAGAAAAGAACGGCTCGGTTGCTTTAACTTGTTAGTATGTTTTTATACATTTTGGAAAATCTGTATTTGGGAATGAGACTTGTTCAAAAGGCAAAAAAAGAAAATCGGTTGTATTTTCTAGTGTAGGACAGTCTTGAGGTGTCCTTTGAATTTAAAATACACGCCATAAGTCATCTTTGACTAATGCCCAGAAATAGTATGGTATATAACGAGTATAATGTGCCATTTTTTTTACATCTGCCCTTTACTTTGACCTGTAAAATGGAGACGTGTAAAAAGCTGTTCTGAGTTCTAGTAGAGAGATGCATATCTTTAGTTTGAATCTAGTCTCGGTATGCATCACAAGTAGGTTGTTGTTGGTTGCATCACAGTGCAGTTCTGGTGACTGGATTAACTACTGGGCCATATCAGATGTCAGATTTTCCGTTCACTTGTTTTAGTGATATTTTTCTAATGATTTGTATCAAGAGCTTTATTTACTTTATAGTTGGTATAGAAGAATGTATCCCGCTTGTTGACAATATCTTCAGATGCAGGGATATCTGACTATTGGACAGTCCCACGTCTATTTGATGTTCCCTGTTTCACCTTTCTCCAATGCAGCTTGAGTTCTTTCTCCCCCTCCACCTTTTCATGCTTCAAATTAGAAATAACCAAGCTTGAACTCTTCTCCCTGTTCCTGTTCCACAGCATCATGATAAAACTAACCTGTTTTTGCTAAATGCAAAATGGAAGCATTTTCTGCTTAGGGATGGTTTCAGAGGGAATCACACCAGTAATATTCTCAGCGAGTCGTGGGTGGGTTGCTCATTTCCTGAACTGTAAAGTCAGATGGAGAGGTTCCAGTGAACCTCTTTATAAGGAATGTAAATTAATCCTTTAATTTCAATAATGGATTTCCACTTGTGAATTTTTTGTGCCCAGTCTCAACTCTGTGGGTCTGCCCCGAACTGCTAAATAATGATAGTGTGAAATCTGCTTCAGTCAGTAATACTGCAGTAAAACCTTTTATTCTGTAAAAGCTTTGAAGGATGTGATTCCTAATGGTAAAGGTACATTTAGTGGGTTGAGCTTTATATTTCATTTCTCAGAGGTAGGTTAAAAGTTTGGGACTTTTTTTTTCCCCACTGGTTTTACATAGTGTCAGACTGTTCAGACTGTAACTTCCAGCTTTTTAAAGACAGATTTTAAAGACTTCCGGACCATGAGTGGTCAGTTCCAGAAGTGAAACAATATAAACTATGTTTAATACATTTTATGTAATGTAGAGATTCTTTGTATCATCACCACATTATGGAGTGGATTTCAGGGGTCACAGAGTAGATGAATCTGGAAAGTACAAAGCACTGTATAGACTTTAGAGTGTCGAAAAAGGGTGAACCAGATTGTCAAATTTCTTGAAATGTTGAAAGAGCACTGGATGTCTTAATTTGCCTGTATAAAGGGATTTCATATTGCATTTACTAAGGGGATGTTGTAAACGAATTGTGCACCCTTTGTGCTGTTTCGAATTTTTGTTTCTAAAAATACCCAGTCAATTTTGGAAAATTTGAGTAGAGAATCAGGAATACTTTTTCTGGAGTTTCAAGAAGCCATGCATCAACTGAGTGTTTTAATAAAATGGATTGTTATAATGGATTGTTTATTTTAGGAAAGAAAATGCCTTAAAGGTATAAATACTATACTATTCTATTAGTATAGCATTGATATTGTAATCCTTGTGTGACATTGTTCCTTTTTGCAGGGTAGATTTTAAAGATTTTATTTTCTTTTAAAGCCATTCTGGGAGGATTTAAAACTGTAGTATAACTTAATTTATGCACAATTGTGCATTTATGTAGACTACCTCTGAACCTTTGTTTTGTAGTGAATTGTATTTTTATTACAATTTGAGTATTCACCTTAGCATAGCATTTAGGTCCATAAGTCTGTATTTAGGGTGTTGTGACAGCAGATTAAAAATGCTTCAGCCTGCTTTCTGCTCTTTTTAAAGGGACATCATAAACAGTTATTGTTTTAAGTTATGTTGCATGTCGCAGAAAACATTGCTTTTAACCACTAAAACTGTTTTTTTCTTTTTGATTTTTCAAGATTGCAAAACTGAGTTAATTTTGCATTATATTAGAAAATAAAATTGTTGGGTGTAGTCTTTTGCATAAACTAAATTTAAACATTAAAACTACCAAAAATGAATTTCCAAAGTGGAAGCATTTACATTTAACTTGCTGAAAGAAAATGATCTTAATTGTCTACATTTTGAAAATGCCACCTTTCCACCTAGTCTGGTGGTTTTCTTTTCCTTGGCTAAGAATTTTGTCAAAGTTTCATTATGAAGAGTACGGTATTTTGCAAAAGTGCGAAAACGTGAGATGCGGGTTGGAATTTGATAGTGTTCCTATCTGTTCCAAATGTGCTGATCTATACAAATCCCAGAGGAGAGGGCTGTTTTTGCAATATAGAGTAAATCCTGTTTAACACTATTGGGGTCTTTAACTGCATGGCAAGAACAAACAAATCTGATAATGTATCATCTTTCAGGTTTAGAACAGCTTTGGGCAAGAGCCCCCTAGTGGTGCCAAATAAGAGCTTTTTTAATTTTCTAGAATTTCAGATTCATCATCCAATGACGTTGTTAGGTCACACTATGTGCAGTGGCATTACTTTAATCGCACATTTGTGCCTTTGCCAAAAGCAGAGCTTTATATTTTTGTTCCTTACATTCTTATAATTATATCTGAATTAACTCACTGTGAGAACGTAGAGCTGCTCCTCTGTGGCAGGGGCACGTGAATGCACAGCACAGATGACCTATCTGACATGTTATTAAAAATGTACTTATGTATTGTGTGTAAGAGGTGTGACGATATTGACCTTGTAATATCCCAAGTTCTATGACCCGGGCTAGCTGCTTTCTGTTCATATTTCCATGCACGTTGTAATCATTGTATGTGGGTTTAAACATGAAATCGGTTACTAAAATCCTTTTATTCCATTCAATTTTGAAACAAAACCCAGATGTATGCAGATCTATATATGATGTTTTGATGTCATCTTTGGAGTTGAATGTACACATTTGCTAACCCTTAAGCCTTTCATTCTCAAGTGTCATTCTCCAGTTCTTAAACCTTAAGTGATCATTTCCACGGATAATTAACTGGTAACTGAAGTATAAACCTACACAGGAAACCCTGTGCTATAATTGAGAAGAGGATGATAACCCATGGTTCATTTGCTGTTTTGGAGATTGTTCAGCATAAATTCATATTTATATATTTATACATGGCTTCCATGGTTTGTAAATGTGATAATCTTTTCTGGTTTTTGGTTTCAGCTGATATGTATGAGCAAAGATTATATGTGGGGAAGGTGATAAACGCATCACCCTTGAATGCAATGGTTTGTATGTTTCACCCTATTGATATTTGGTACACTTCTACTCCATTTCAGTTCAAAGGGCTGCAAGAGTTTTTGGTACCACTGGTTGTGCCCTAGCTGACTGTCTGCAATTGAGGTTTTAGTATAAAACTTAAGCAGGTACGCATTTCTGGAAGTGTTCTGAATAGTGAAGCTACTGTTGATATTCTTGCATGCTAAACTGTGTAACAGTTTTCTTTTATATAATTTAAAAATATGTGCCTCTTTACAATTAAGTTTGCAATAAATGTACTGTACATTGTTTTACTGAATGGTTCCCCACAATTTAAAATACTGCCAGAATGAGTGACTGGGCAAGCCTGGAAGTTTTTTTTTTTTCTAGGTAAGTGGAATTGTACATAAGATGAGGAATTATTTAAAGCTTTTAAAACGAAGTTTTTTTGTATGTGTGCATGAAAGTACTTGTGTGCTCAATGAATGAGGTTGGATTTTTTTTCAGAGAAGTGTGAAAATATGTAAAAATGTAAAATGTTTTAAAGGAATCTAGCTTTGTATTTTATGTTCATTGAAAAGCTTTGATATTGCTTCTGTAAACAAATTTCTTTTGAATAGTTCATTTTCTTCTTTCCAGTTGATGCCATTGTGATTTTTTTTGTATGTGAAGATTTGAAATTCACCAAAACTTGAAAAAGAGCAATAAAAGATCTAAAACTTTTAAATAGTTGTCCTTCAATTAAAACCATGTTAATGAATTGCACATTAAAATATTCATTAATTTACAGCACTGTCAGTAATGTTAATCATCATGGAAAAGGCTTTTAATTATCAATATGGAACCACAAGAAAACTTGCCCATCTAAAAAAAAATGAACTGACCTGGCAAAAGTTTCATTTGTTTTTAGTTGTCACTCTCAGTATTAAATGCGCACTGTGTTCACGGTAAGGAATAAACCAGGTGAGGGTTAGAAATGTAATAATAATGTTTCTTTATTAGCCCTATACAATTTCTTGCATTAGGAATTTGTCTTTTCACATACCCCAGCTTTTCTCAATGGAGACACAGACACACAGACAGGGAGAGAAGCTTGGGGTCAGAGCGCAGGGTCTGCCATTGTACGGCACCCCTGGAGCAGTTGGGGTTAAGGGCCTTGCTCAGGGGCCCAACGGAGTAGGATTCCTCTGCCGGCCACGGGATTTGAACTGGTAACCTTCCAGTCACAGGCGCAGATCCTTAGCCACAGAGCCAATAGAACTTCATCCAGTTTGTGGCTGAATTTAAAATGGCTTAAAGACAGAATGAGACTCAGGCATTGCTTGGAAATGTAGAGATCTGGATGTTAGCTTTTGCCCGTGGTTTTCAAAAGTCCAGACTTCACGTCTTTCATTTTAATGTATCTCAATGTTCCTGACCTACAATACCATGCATGGTACTTTATCTTGCTGCTTTATAGCTGTCGACATGACGCTTCGAAGTAGAAATTAACTTGCTTTAATCACAACATACTCCACACAAAAGGAAACAAAATGTAATTCTTGTTAAAGAAAATGGAAAAGTTACGATTATACAAGTATTCAAACCCATTACTGTGGCTTAACTAAATCAATTTAGGTGCCCAAAATTCCATGCTGAAATTAATGTTTTACTCTTCCGTTCTGCTTCTTAGCAAGAATTCGACCCTGTGCTTACTTAGAGCATACTCGCGATCGCATTTTCCTTTTTTTATACAGTAATCTGTTTTAAATCCATAAAGTGCATGAATACACTCAGTTTTGTGAGGGTGGATTACAATCAAGTTTGTGATATATCTTGCATTCGCTGTTTCAAAGTAGTATTACATGACTTAAATACTTTTTCACATTTGATTTGTTCTGTGCACGGTTAGCGACAGGACAGTAAGAAATCTCTCTTCTCAGCTTCAAAAAGAGGATCAGGTGTCATTAGTGTTGGAGCTCCAATTACCACCTCAGTGCCTTATTTCTCGTGCTAGTTGATGAAGATGGAATTGTACCAAAGATTTTTTTTTCCGAAGTGGGATTCAATGTTTTAGGGGTCCAAATAAAGATATAGACTGACATTACGTCAGTAATGATGAAAGTGTAGGAAGCGTGTATATTATCACCCGGGACAATTAATTTACTGTGAAATGGAACGAAGGGTACAACATGACAAATGACGTTGTCTCAGTCTCCTTATTTGAAAATGGTCCTGTAATCTGTCCAGTTCTTGTTTCTTCATGCATGTAAATTTAACAAATTCACATTTTGAGCCTCCTCAAAAATTGTACAAAATATGTATAGGTTAAAACTATAGCTGTCTCTCAATCTGATTTGATCTAAATTGAAATGTCTCGTTATGTATTTAAAATATCTGTTGTGCTGTACTGCACGTCCGTTTTCGTTACTATTTTTAACATAAATGAGACTGCGTTGATAGTCCCTGGACCGCTCATTTTGGTAGCAAATATCCATGGATGTAATGTAAAGATGATACCTAAAATGATTACAAGTACGTAACATTTTAAGAGTAAATATAATACAAAAACTACTACCATGACTACGCTGCATGTAATTCATGATCATTTATCTGAAACAAAAACTTCATACTGGACTTTTTACCAAATCTTTATGACATTAATATTTTAATTTGATTACATCAATATGATTATTCTTTAATGCCATATTTTATGCAAGCGTGTGGTATTTTAAAGATATATGATACGTCGATAAATAGATTATTCGTGTCAATATAACATTAATGAAAGTAATTCGAAATTTTGATTTTCGGTTTTGGATGTTTGTCTTCTCTCAGGTTCCGTAGATAAGGGTCAAAGGGGAAATCCATCATGGCGGAGTCCTTTTGAAAACAAGTGCGAATAAGATGAGTGAAAATTAACAAAGTGTGACAATTTCTGAAGATAAAGCACTGGTTTGCGTCGGAATTGTTGAAAAAACTTATATTTTCCTAGATTTGGAAACGATCATATTTACGGTAAGCATTATATTTTAAAGATAAATAATAACACGTGTGTACTGGTTTGATTTTGCAGCAAACTCTTTGAGTATTTTCAAATGTTGGAAATCACAGTGTTTTTCACAAATTGTACTTTTTGTCTTTTCAAATAGGGGATTCGACAGTTTTAACTTTTTTATGTTGTTTAGTTTATTCTTTCTCTTTATTTATTTGGCCAGAACACGTGTATCACAATTACAGACAACTACTGGCAGTCTTTCATCCTAATAATTTATGTGTAATCCCGTAAACGAGGTTGTCTTCATCATATAATCTTTATTTAGCGATTTAAAGTTAGTCATATAATAGAGTCGCACAGTTTTCAAAATGTTTTATTGCATTTACAAAATGCACTATAATGTTTTTAATTGGCTTTAAGTAATGTTGTCTCACCATTCGTGGTTGAATTTAGAAAATGTATAAAATTAAAAGTTAAATATTTTGCATTGATTAAACAGCACTAGTGCTTCTTGAATGCATCAGTAACATAATATTTAAATAAGCTATTAATGGAAATATGTTGCAAGGGAAAACTGTAAAGGTTAGTTAATGGTAGGCTTTACTTCTTGACATTCAAATGGCAACTGTCAAGATATGAAAAGACATTAAGTTTGAGTTTTAGATTTCTAGTTCTAATTGCTGACTTTAATTGCTCTTGATTCTTTAGATTTTTGGTTAAATAGTTTCAACAGCATCTACAACATACAGAGCTTCAAGACAGCCTTTCCCTAACTTAGTTGATCTTATTTCTGGCTAAACAGTTCTTAATATTTGATCCATGAACACACACAGGTGGAAATTATAATGTATCAAACCCCACAGTGAGTGTTTTTCTTTCCATATACCAAAGTCCAGTTGGTTACATTTCAGGCAACAGTCCTGAATGAAGTCGTTAAAGGATTGAAAACCTGCAGAGGCATCAGCCCTCCAGATGCAGGTTTAGACATCTTTGCTTTAGAGGCAATATTGCATCTTTGACTTGATTCCCTGGAATATATTCAAGAATGTTTTTTTCTCTGCTTCATTTCTTATCTAGAATGGGATTTATATAACCTGGTGTTAAATTATAAGCCAGTACTGTTGTTGCGGTCGATAGCAAATGATAGTAGATCAGGTGGGTAGCTGCGTCACCATGCGTAGGCTGCAAAGGAACAAGTAATAATAATAATAATAATAATTGCTTACACTTATATAGCGCTTTACTGGACACTCCACTCAAAGCGCTTTACAGGTAATGGGAACTCCCCTCCACCACCACCAATGTGCAGCATCCACCTGGATGATGCGACGGCAGCCATAGTGCGCCAGAATGCTCACCACACATCAGCTATCAGTGTGGAGGAGAGCAGAGTAATGAAGCCAATTCATAGATGGGGATTATTAGGAGGCCATGATTGGTAAGGGCCAATGGGGAATTTGGCCAGGACGCCGGGGTTACACCCCTACTCTTTTCGAGAAACGCCCTGGGATTTTTAATGACCAAAAAATACTGTATATGTAAGATATGTTTGAAACTTTTGACGGTGACAAATATGTCACAAAGCTAGTTCTGGATGGTTTTGACCTTTTTCTGACAAACGGAATTTGATTGCATTGAGTGCACAAAAGTTGCCAAACCTTTCCTTTGCTTAACCAACAAATATTGCTGTGAAGGTGAAAACACCATCCTGTGCATCAAAGCAGATTGGGCAAACTGTAAATACTGAAATAATCTTCTCCTCTGTATTCATCACATTGTTGGGCTCAAATAGAAATATTAAGAAATATTTGTCGGGGAAATCTTTCTATTGGTGACAATGAAAATTTACCATTGTGTGATCCAATTGATCCTTAGTGATTTTTACAGATCCGTTCTTATTTTAGAACTTTGCCCAGTATGTTGAAAAAATCCGTATTCATGCCTTCAAGAAGCCTAACAAGCGTGAACCTCTAACCTTACTCTTTACAGACCTCCATTTTGTGCCAAATATTTGACCTTCCACTAAAGTATGAAAGCCATGATCAGTGACATGCATTGCAAGCTCTCTTGCAAAATAAGATAGGCCCCGCTAAAAGTAATGTAGTAAATAAGACTGCTGTTGAACTGTTTTTCTTTTTATGTCAAAGATCTTACATTGGATAGCATAACTGAGAGATTGACAGAGCAGTCAATCAAAGTGTTTTTTAGTTTAGTTCTTCAGCATTAATTACTTTTAATGAGTATGCCACTCATAGCATGCATGGGGTTTGTGGCTGACTCATAGTATAGGCTTATAGCAGAAGAACAGAAGTCACTTTCTCTAGCTCCTATAAACCCCCTTCCAGGATAATTAGGAATAATTAGATACTGAACTCCATATTAGTCTTCCTAAAGAGATCTGCTAAATTTTCTTTCAAGACAATGCCGGCTGCTTGTGATTCACTGGTGGATGACATTGAAGATATGGTATCGGCACACGATCCCAAGCCTCACGATCGACAGTTTGCGAGGAAGAACATTGTGCCAAGATCCAGAAAGAGAAATCAGCAGCAAAATACCGAAGATCTACTTGTTGACAGGTAAGGTTGATGAAAAAGGAATTTGTTTTCTGAATGAATGAAACCTATCAGAGAGGGTAAGAAGACAGCTCTATGCATGTACTACATCTGTAACTGTACCAAGTTTGTATCATGTCAACATGCTAAATAAACTCTTAAAATATGAAAATATGCCATGGTTATTAATATGGATTCTAAAACACTTAAATTCATTTTTGTATAGTTTTACAAAATTGTGATTATTGCTGCTAGAGGTAGAGGCTTGCTGGGTCTGCAAAAAAGTAAGTCCTTCTGATGCCAATAAACAAAAACAAACTTGTCAGAAAGGTGGAGAAAAAAAAACTAAATCACAGTTTAGAAAGAATCTTCCATTATTGTTAAATAAGCCACGTATGTGAAGGATACAAAAAGAGGCAAACTTAAGAATTGCATTATAAGAATAAAAATAATGTGTTAGGCAATTGTGAATCAACAGTTTTTTTTTAAATGACAACTTAAATCAATTGGGAAGCCACAGAAACAGGCAGAGACTTAAAGCTGTTGGTATTGTTTTCATTGAAGTATCCAAACTGAGTCTACTTTTCAAAATACCTGATTACAGAGTTCATTATCCACCATCCACTATGTTATACTAATAATGAATAATCTGACTGAAATACTATAATTACTCGTCACGCCATTACTGTCTTTTACTTGCATTTGTCTTATACAAATATTTGGTGACTTGACACAGTTCTTACATTGGTGTTGAAGGTATTCTTATTTTCTGTGTTGTAAAGTGGAAGCATTTGTAAGCAAGTTATGTTTCTGTGCGTCCAAAGGTTTGTTAATAATTTTTGGTCACTTCAAAGTTGTGCAGTCACACCAGGTTAGTGCCTTTTGTCCTTGTGGATTCCTCAGTTCATTTGCTCTGTTTCAGTGTTATTCCTGGGACACAAAAGGTCTGGATGAAGACATGGGGCTGCTCCCACAACAGCTCAGATGGAGAATACATGGCTGGCCAACTTGCTGCAAGTGGATACAAAATGACAGGTATTGCTGTCTTGCTATTATCTTGTATTGTCTTCTCGAGGGCATTACATGACTTTGAAGAATGGGATGGTATCAGTGGCAGCTCGTAAGGGAGGACTAATGTTTTTAGGGGGATTTTCTAATATTTAACTTTTTTAAGCACTTATACCTCACCTACTATGGGAGAAAGAAATCAGAAGTTTCCCACCTCTTAATTATTTAATTTTCACATTATACTTTTTTTTCTACTAATTGTTAATGCTAACAAAATAAGTTTGGAAATCGAGACATTTTAACTAGGGTAATTGTTTGTCAGGACTGTAGTATAGGATGAACTAAATCAAGCTAAATGCTTATATTAAGGGGGATAAGGAGATGGGGGGGAAAAATGCCAGTTTTAATAAGTGTAGGAACAACAATCATTATTTCTCTAAGACTTGATTTTTAGTTGCATACACTTGTGGATATTACAGCTGTTTGAATATGATCTCTTACATATAAGAAGTCAATAATGAAATATTTAAATTGTATTAAAAATAACCTGTTTTAGGTAGATAGGTGTTAAAAACAATTGAAATGGAAACTAAATTCAAAATGAAGGAATTATTCATTATTCAGGGGGAAACTCATCTAGCAACTTTCACGTTTTTCCTGTGTTAAGTGATTTCTGATGGTTACCATTAAAGAGTGGAATAATCAAAAAGCCTTCCCTCAGCTACAGCTGAATGGTATTTCATTGCAAACCTCTTGGTATGGTATCTGCTATTGGTGCTACTCAACATTTAGGTAGTTTTTTATTTGATATTTTACATTATTTTCTTTTGATGCTGAAAGCGTCACACTTTGTTCTAATGGTTTGGTGCACATTCTGGTGTAGGTTACATGATTGTTGCCTCATCGGATCAAAGGTACTTAGGATGCATCTCTCTGTTTCATGTTAGTGTATAGAGTGGAAAATGTTAAGATGATTTAATTGATGATTAATTTGTATTGGGTGCACATACTGTATTATCAGTTTTTTCAGTAGGAAAGTGCTTCTGGAGAATAGGGAACTATTGCAGGCTAAAAAAAGACTGCTACAAGACTGAGAACCCTATTCACTGCTTTATAAATGGTTACCTTCACCAGAACCACAAGCACGACAGCTGTGAAACATGCTTCCAATTAGGGAGTATAGCAGTTGTCCATAATTGGGTACTTTGTTTGTCAGAATCACATGCCTTGAGTGTAAAGCTGCTTTTGGGCTAAGTTTAGCATGTTTCTCTGGAGATTTCTTTTCATCCTTCTTTCTATGTATAGTTTTATAGTGTCCTGAGAGTGATTTCAATCTATTATAAACATTGCATTCATAAAGACAATTTTTAATAAAATATTTTAAATAATAAATTAATTCAAAATAAATTTGCATAATAAGTGATACATAAAATATTTCTATTTTTGAAAATATGGAGTCTTGTATTTTCTATTAAGGGACTGATCTCTTTCTTGTCTTGGAAAAAGTTGCTGATAATTTATAGTTCAGTTTTGTCCAAAAATATCAATTGTCTTGCATGATGCCAAATTGCAAAAAGCAAGAGCAATTTAAGACATCATTTTGTATTCACGCATTAAATTCAGGTAATTTATGCTGTTTTTCTTAAAATATCTATTGTAGTTCACTGTGCCATTACAGTGGTAATCTGTGGCATTTGGGAGTTGCTGGAAGGGAAACCATAATTTAGACTGCAGTAGAGATCCCCAATGTGTTAATATTTACTTTTCCCGTTTAACTCCACCAAAAAGGATATCTTTTGTCTGAAGCTTTTGAATTATTACTAGTTTTTATATTGTATTGATAGCAGGTTAGTAAAGTGCAGCTTGCATGTATTATATGTATACAGTGGTGCTAGAAAGTTTGTAAACCCTTTAGAATTGTCGAAATTTCTGCATACATTTGACATAAAATGTGATCAGATCTTCATCTAAGTAATAAAAATAGATAAAGAGAACCCAATAAAACAATATAATACACAAGATTATATACTTTTTAATTCATGTATTTATCAAAGTGATCCAACATTAAATGTGTTTGTTCAGTAAATTCCGCAATTCTACAAATTTTCTGGCACCACTGTATGTATAGTATGTAGATGTATTAAGTTCTAGGGATAATCAATATGAGCTTCATTTATTTCTCTGTTGGCTTGTATACATTTTATACATTGTCATTTGTCATCTTCATGTTTATTCTGGATCCTTGAAGTGCTGCACCTAGAAATCTGTAGAGATAAATTGATTTTTAATTATTTACAGCACATTCACATTACTGCTCAAAACGTCAGTGTTTCATTTGTTTATTCTTTTCTTTTTGTGAAGTATAATCAAGCTTAATACAGTGTTAGTTAGTCGTTACTTAATAAAGTGTACACACAGTATTTTTCCTAATTGAAGAATAATCCTACTTTAATTTAGAACTGATGTTGTCTGACATTTTTGGGACTCTTTTGAGGTTAGCTGTTTTCTTAGGGCTTTCTTCCGTACCACTAAGCCCTTCTAAGATTTCCCTTAGTTTCATGTTGGAAGCACATAATTGTAGCATACTGTAGCTCTGATTTTCAAAAGGCAGTTTGGTACCTGTGATATTTTGTCTTCTCATATTGCCCATCTTGAAAACTATAATACTTTTTCTATGCTGCTGAAAAGATGTGCTATGTACTGCTATTTGCACAAGAAGATTATGTGGTATTCATGTCCCGTACAACCTCTTTTATTAGTAATTATTATATGAATATATTTTCTGTTTTGTTATTAAAAATAAATTCATTATGCTAGTTATAGTATGGTATTTCCTAACTTGATCTTGATTGCAACATGTTAGCTTGTAGTTTGTCATAAAATTACCAAACTGAAAATTGAGGAGTTAACTGTTAATGGTGTTGAAGAGTCATCTGTTTTAATTTAGAATAGTCACATTTTCATAGTTCTTTGTGTTGTACTATTTTAATAATGGATCCATGACATCAATTGCTATTTACATTATGTTTAATAATAACATCTATCCTAGTGTTTTTTAAAATGGATGTTGTTGGCTCTTATAAGGTCAGGAGAGTAATTGTAGTTGAAGATATGCAGTTTCAGGATATGTCTGTTTCATCTGCAGGCTTTTAATTGTTTTATCCATCTTGTCTCCTTTGCTGATTGTACCTGTTGTCCTTTCGTGAGATGTACTGAATAAACACTGCTTCTTTAATTTTGTTCCAAATAACCAAATGCATAAAGGCAAAGATGTGCTATTTCTAAGACCATCTTTGTTTATGACAGTGCAATTCTCAAGAAATACCCTAGATGGCACTCTGAGTGTATATATAAAACGAGTACCAGCAGACAAAATTAAACTGATTTGTTTTTAGCCAGGCTGAATGTTTTGGAGATGGGGATCAAGGATTAAATGTAAAGAAAATGTACTTTTTAAAACATTTTGTCTGGCTTTTACGGTATCTACATCCTAAAATGATGCCTTTTTTTCAAAGGCAACTTACAGAATGTGTAGAGAGGAGATCATCAAGTTCGCAGAAGTTAATGAACTGTTTTCAGCTGGTTTCAGCCTGTTATAGAACACAAGAGGCCCCTTGTGCATGCAATGTTGAGCCTCTGACCTGGCATCTGGTTGTTATCAGCATAGCTGCTTGAAAATAAACTCTGTGTTAAAACTAATCAGCCAGCTAAGGGTCACGCTCCAAAAGTGGGCTTGTGCTTCGTTGGCCAGACAGTGCATTCACACCAGCTAATGAAAACACTGCTGCAGTTACATTGGCCATGGGTATAGAGAAACTTGTGAAAATTGCTTTAAAAATGCTTGAGGGGGTTGCTTTTAAACTCTTACTTAAAAATATTTAAAGGTTTAGTGGTTTTAAAAGGCCTACAGTTGGCCCAAATTACAATAGAGCTAAAAAAAAAGTTGCATAAAAACAGTAATTTTAACCGGTAGAACAAAAGTATCGGCTTTGAACCTTAAGTGTGCTTTCAGATCTGCTCTTTTGTGGTCTTTTAAGAAAAAAAACTGCACTTAATATGTAATCCCTTCCCCACCTCATTCTACCACTGCTAATGCATTTGTGTATTATGCACTTCTTGTGTGAAGAAGAACCAAGGCACTCAACCTAATATTTCAAACACGGTTACAGTTCTCAGAAGATTTCCTGCTTTCAAACTTCTATTTGCCGTATATAGTTACAGAAAACAGTTATGTTGTTTTCTGGTTCTTATTTTTCTTGCTTGTAAACCTCTGGGGGTTGTATATGGATATAGAAGATATCATGCCTAAGCTGTTTCACTTGACGGAGTGAAAGGGTAGGTTTTAAATCTTAAACAGTAAATAATTAGTTATCATTCACTATCAACTGTTTAAATGATTAAAAAGCTTCAAACTGGGTACTGGGTCATTTTTGAAAGAAGATTGGAAAATGTTAATCGGAACAATTGCTTGAGGTACTCTCATTCATAGTAGTTATCAATGCAGCTGCGGAAGGCATTAATCACTAAATATGCAAATATTTGCCTTTTGGAACCTATGAGACAATACCATGAAATGTGTTCTAATTGTCCCAGGTCTTAGTGATGTGTAATTTTCCATTAGAAAAGAGCAGGTGCCAATTGTAGCTGACACACAATTTCTTGATCCAACTTGATTGGATACTTCTCTGCTAATTAACTACACCAAAAATTAACATTTGGTATTTCAATACAGAATATTTAAAGTGGTAAGTCCAGTTTTCTTTTTAAACATTTATTTCTCAGGGTAACCTGTGTATTAACCGGCAGTGATATACAATGGTTAGGAATTTATAACTATGTCAAAATAAATTTTAATTCTGCGTATAATAAAATAATAGTTGTAGTATTGATTTAGGTGGTAAAGATATTCCTTGCTGTGAAGAAAAGGGAAGAACTGTTAAATTATCACCTTGTTCCTTAACATATAAGGTAACCTGTACATCATAACTACAAGTCAGAATAAATTAATTCATGATTTTTAATTTGAT